CGCCCCCGCCCCCCCCCCCCCCCCCCCCCCCCCCCCCCCCCCCCCCCCCCCCCCCCCCCCCCGCGGGCGGCCGGAGGGCAGAAACAGGGACGAGACTAACCTGACGGCACCGGCAGCACGCCGTCAAGGTATGTGCGATGCGATGCGGCGGGCCATCGCTCTCTGACCGGTCATCGGGAGGATGTGGAGGACCAGGCGGTTGCGGAATTGGTGCTCTCCTGGGATAGAGGCTCTGCGGTTGTCGAGGGGCCAGCGAGCCTAAGCCTTGACGGAAGACATCGGCAGCGTCCATGGGACGAAAGCAACCTCGTCCCCGGTCCGGGCGAGGGGATCAGGCGATCTAGTGTCTTTGCGTCTGAAGTTATAACATCGGATGGAGCATTCCCGCCGAAGCAAGACGCAGTTGGACTAAGGTTACGGATTCCCGAACTGTGGTGGAGACCCTTTGATTGCAAGTTGTAACTTGTGGGGCTCACTCAACCCCCGGTCCTGGGCCACCTGATGTAACACCCCAGTTGAAGGAGTTCCCAATAATTACGTGATCGGGAATCAAGGATCCCTGGGTGCCCGATACATACACTACACACGTCCTATTCCCGATATAGGGACATAATTGGGGTTTTAAGGGATGACAGAAGCATGGCATACTTTTAATTACATCATGTTCTTTTTCTGAATCCGGTGATTAGTTGGTTAATAGATCAGGGTCCTCGCGCCGGGACGAGTTTGGCTTGCCGTCTTGGAAAATGGCTCGAGCGAGTCGATGCCTAACATTCAATTGACACGAACCCCTTTGCGCCAGATCAGCAGGAGGCAGTACAGACTCGTAACTCTGATAAACTCGATACGCCGGGCGAATAAGCGCAATTGCCCTGATTTGATGCGAGAGAACGCAGATGCCCGCGATTGTGGGTACGTCGCACAAGCTGGATTGTTAAGGAGTCGAGATGAACGGGAGGCTTAAAATTTAAAAATACACCAGCGATCTTAAGCTCCACTTGAAACCCCATCTACTAATAGGAGACTACCTAGGTACATTGGTAGCTTGAGCCCCTAAATTGATCTGCTCTCCAAGAGTCTCTCCCTGATGTGAATTACCTCCGTGCTTAATGCATGCCTCAAAGGTCGGCTCCAGACTCGACAATGTGCCTTCCTGCGCCTAGGTGATACCTTCATTACATACCCGCCGATTATGAGCTCTGCGCCACTTGCTGCTGCCCCTGCGGCTCTTTGCGCTGTACGAGCTCCCAATGCTTAGGTCCGCACTGGGGAACGCAGAAGCGCCGATAGCGCCGGACGAGGCCGCGTAACCGTCCTATCTCGCCCTAGGCCGAGTCGTATTTGGGCGCCTTTTGGATACTCCCTGAGGTTTTGCTGAACCTGCAGGCTTCGGACCAGCACTGATCCGCCTGGGTCTTGATTGGGAGCCACCGTCGTGTGGGTCCGCAGTAGCAACGCCGGCGAGGTCTGCAGCCGCTTTGTGCCGGGCCTCCTCCAAGCGTCTGCTCCTTCGGGGCAGCACAGGAGTATCCTTTGGGGGGGCGGTAGGGACATGTAGTCCTGGTAAGGACTGTTGAGCTTCGGACGGTAATTTAGAGGCGTTCGGCCGTCGTCGGGGGCCAGGCCCACTCTTTCCGCGAGCCTTGTACACCTTCGATGAATGAGCTGGACCAAGAGCGGTGCGTGCTATTTGTAGAGCCTGTCCACCCTCGATGGATGGCTCTCTCTTGCCTCGTCGCCGCCTCTGTGGCGGGGCAGAGCGAGGAGTCTCTCTGCTCTCTGCATGGCGGCGTCGTGAATTCGATGCGGCGGAAGAGTGATTGGGATCGCCATTCGGTAATCCTGCAGGATCAGCGGCCGGAGGTGGTTCTTGCGGAGACGCATTCAAGCAACCAGACACCGGGCCATGACTCGATTCGGCAGGCGACAGAGACCCGAATATATTCCATCTCGGACTTGCTCCCTCGGCTCCATGGCCGTCGTTCCCGGGCACACCCAAAATACTAGCCGCAGGCGTTTCTTTCTGAGACTCGTTGAGCATATCGGACGCTTCGAAAATATCGGACGCTTCGTGATTTGACTCGGCAGAGAGGAGGCACCCGAATATCGACCTGGCAGGTGCTTCTCCCGTTTCATGTCTGTCAGCTTCGAGCCTGTTTGCTTGAACGGGAGTATCATTGCCCATCCCCTCAAGAAGCATCTCCTCAAGAGACTGTTCGTGCTTCCACGACATCCCCGGCAGGACACCCCATTTCCTATTCCATATCCCTCTTTTCATCCAAGTGTTCTTCATTCTCTCATAAGCCGTCGTATTAATGTCGAGAGGGGTCGGGATAGTGGCTCCTTGAGTGTTTGACTCGTTCTGCACGAGGGCGTCGGGAGGGTTCATTTCGTCTTGAATCCGTTTGCGTTCATTCGACACTTGATAGATGAACTGATAGAATGGGCGCGACGGCTCACGTTCGCGCTCTTGCACAGCCCGTTGCTCTGCAATCTGTTGCAGCTCCTCGGCACTCTTCGGTCGTCTTGGTTCTGCTGCTCTCGTGGGGGAAGGGGAGAGGCAGAAAAGAGGAGCTCTGACTTTGGCCTCCGAATCGATCTCGTTATCCGACTCGGGCTGGAGCGGTTCTTCATGCTTCCACCGCCCAGAAGGTTGCCACCCCCACTCCTCGTTCCAGATGCCCTGCTCGACCCATTGCTTTTTGACGGTGGCGCGCGCGAGTTCCATATGTAGGTCGCTGAAAATGCAACCGCTGCCCGGTGCTGGTTTGAAGAGCCGGCGGTACTCTTCGTGCCTTTGCGCGTCAAACTGGCCAACAGGAAACGATGCCCGATGCTCTAGTATCAGCTTCCATTTTCGTTTCTCGCGGCGCTGCTGTTCCTCGCTAGGCGGGTTAGAGCTTTGAGATAGTGTTGAGTTGTGCGAGTAGTGGGTTCTGTATGATGGAGTTTCGCTGAACCGGCGTCTCGCACGATCCAGTAGCCCCGGATCTTCAACAAGTGCCGCTAGGGCCATATCAAGCCTAAACAACCTATCTCCTCGAATCGTAGTAGCCATGGAGGAGGTCTAGGATAGTGGAAGCAGGGCTTTGACAGAGCGAACAGAGAGGCGAAACTGAAAATTATCTGAGGGTGAAAGGTGTGAAAAGAGTGAAACCACAACGGAAATAATTTACCGTTTGCGCGCTGTGTTTCTTCTGACGGGGCTGGCAGTTGGCGTTAATCAATCAGGGAACAGGGAGGGGGGCGACTCAATGATAAAGCTCCATCAGTTGTCAGTTGTTGTTCACCTCCATGCAGCATGCCAACCGAAATATATTGCCTATGCATTCTTTGTTCTGCAACGGAGCTTTGCCAGCAGAGATGCAACCAATATGAGGGTGCATCCGGCCAGCGCGCTTTGCTGTCGCTCCAGTTGCTATGGGTGTTTTGAAAGAGCTGCAAGCGGCGTTTGTATATATCTCCTTCTTTGCTCGGCTCTCTGTGCTCCTTCTAACCTTCATTCATCTTTGCCTTGCTCCAGTAATTCGCCAGATTTCATCGCCCAATAATGCCTCGTCCCAAGCCTCGTCCCAAGCCTCATCCCCTAGCCTCATCCCCTAGCCTTATTCTCCCTCTTCCCGTTCAACGAGCGAGCCAAAAGCAGTCGTTGCCCACCAGAGCAATGAGCATCTCGTGTCAGAGCTGGAAAACGGTAGACTTGCTCTCGACATTGGCCACACGCGCCCGATCTCGGGAGATAACGCCACTCTAGCAACACTAGGACGCAACGGCGATGTTTTAGTGGACAATTCTAGCATTGCAAAGATCCAATGCTCATTCGAGATCGACTTAGACACCAAAATCGTTATGTTCGACGACAGATCGCACGGTCAGACAAGTCAAGTTTTCGGCGAAAACGCTACACCATTCGAGTATGGACGTCTTCGTAAAGTCGTCGTGCAAAGTGATGCCAACAACATCATTGGCATGGGGGGTGTTGGGCGAGACCTCATCCAGTTCCAGCTGATACATCGACAAGGATGGGTGCAACTGAAGCGCGAAGTAGAGATCCTTTTCAGCATCAACCACATGAGTGAGGCCTCTTCATAGCTCTAATATATGGTGTGCTAATGTCAATGCTAGGACCACATTGTGGACTACATCTCGTCCCAGGGCTGGGACGGGCCCAAAGTGGAGATCTTCATGGGTCTAAAAGAAGGAACCCTGGAGTCGTTGGTCACAGCAAGTGCTCCATCCCCATCACCAAGCTTGCCGATACCGCCTTTCATCATATGCTCCAAGCAATCGATTGTCTTGCAGCGCAGGGCATCATCCATCGAGATGTGAAGCCGGAGAATATTCTCTATGTATCGCGGCAAGATCAATATCATTTCCAACTCGGGGACTTCGGCCTAAGCAACCGCCAGATCATGGCAGCTACATGTTCTGGCACACCACTTTACATGGCGCCAGAGATATTCCAAAACAGGGAGCAGACACACAAAGTGGATGTTTGGTCACTCTTCGTCACGATGCTATGGACATTAAAAATCAACAGGTTCCGTGAGGTATGGAACAGCTTCAAGACCTATCAAGATGCTCGAGGAGCGATTTTGTCGGCGGCCTCACGCGTGGGCGTCATTCGGGAAATGGCAAGGATCGACCCGGAGGAGCGCGCTTCCGCGGCACAGATGCTTGTCAAGTGCTTCAATGGAAAAGGACTCACCACTCCACGCAATCAGGTTCTATCCATCAGTCCCACAAAAGACAACAGCAAGGCCCTGACCGCAAATGCCGACGACACTCCAGCTGCAGCCAGTCCCGCGTTGACGGGCAAGGCACAACCACAACGCAGAGATTTTCGAAGGAACGTGAATCCAGCTGCAGGTCAGTTCCGCGTCGACAAGGCTTGGTTCCCTCAAGCGCAACTACGACAGCCGGGTGGTCCACCGCCCAAAAGGCTTGCAGGGCAAGCGTTCGGTCCTCAGGCCCCAGTAAACTATCGGATTCCTGGCAGTTTTCCCGATGACACCATTGACGTGGCAGAACCACGGAAGCGGCCCAGATTTACGTGAATAAGCCACGCAAGATCCAAGAAGGCGATGCTTTCGCTGGGGTGTCAACTGCACAGCGCGGGCCACGCGGCGAGGGCCATCTGGCGCACCCCTTCGGCCATCGAACTCGGGAAGCTGCTTTCGGGCTCCGAGAAGCAGCACCGGCGGCTCGGCGGCTGGGCTTTAACTTCGGCGCGTTTGGGGAGAAGGAGGAGCGGGCGGGCGCAGTGCGCCCCCAAGACGATCGAGCTCCGAATGGTTGAGGACACGCTCTAGGACGACCTGGAATCCGGGTTGCTGCGTTTATGTTGCACGTTGGTGGAACTGGCGATGCCAGAGCGGCAGCGGTAGCTTCGAGACACAGTCTAGCATCTAGTGGACCGATTGCAGGAGTCTGACAGGCTGTCTGAGCTCAAGTATCACTTTGGCGACTTGATAGACATTGATGCAACTATATATGAGCCGTTTCGGATGAAGATTCGCCAATATCATGCCCGATTATTCCCAGATTTGTCATAGATCGTAGACTCGGGTCTCTCCATTCCGTCCTTGACGTGCCAGCCTCCGCCGAATCTCCCGTCCGGATTTTCCATCTGTCGTCCTGTGACTTCCTCGTCGATTGTGATAGGCGCAGAAAACAATCTGTTCTGGGTAGACAAGAAAACAACGCTCAAGAAGATTGCGAGCCAGTGTATAAAACTCCAGTCTTTCTTGGTCACTTGAGGAAGGGTATTCGCCACTTGGAAATGCCCGGAGCTGCGCGTACGGAACTTGAAGCTACTGTCATCGAATGGTCTCTGCCAGGATATGTCGGCATGGGTGCTTGTATTGGGCCATCATTTGGAACAGAGCAGCGTTCGCGTAATGGGCGGCCATCAAGCATATCTCTTCCTCTCAAATGGACATTGAACAGCGGCAGCAAGCACGGGCAATTGTGTGCATATAACCACCTTATGTACTCTAAATTCGCGTCCTTGACATGCCAATTTCAGGTCGGAGTATTCGACGGAGTGTATAAGATATAAGACCGCGAAAGATGAACCTGTCATCGTGCAAGGAGTTTCTCGACGTGCAGTCGACGGTGCGGCTCTGCTGTAGTGCGGGGTAAGGACATTTGCGTGGTGCTACGGCCGCAACGGGCAGCTGGCGGGGTCACGTTTTCCATGTCGGTACCTAAATCATTTTATGTACAGAACACCTGGGAACGACGAGCCTCTCGCCTTAATCGGGAAAGGGGCTATGACCTAGTGTTGGCTATCGCCCACCATAATCTACCCCACCATGTTGATCATCCTCGAGACGAGGTAGCCCGCTCTTGTGTTCAACCCCGTCATACTCGAATATCGAAATAACTTGACCTTCAACCCCCTTCTCCATCAAAGTAGCAGTTCTTCAAAGAAAGCGCCAGTGTATATTGGGAGCGGATCGAAGCCGCCGACTATCCTCGCTCAAACACGGCCCCTGAATTGGTAGACTCTGCGGTTCCCACGTGCCAGCGGCCTAGCGACCAGCGGCAATAGCTGTTAGTGAAGCAGAGCTCTAGCTCCTTTCTAGCATCTCTTCTAGTCTCCATGAGAATCTCATGAGGCGAGATGCCGAGGCCAAGCTTCTCGGATCAGCCGCTGTTGCGAGTGTCGAGGCCAGTCTCTGCATGTTCAAGATGTGAGAGCCCCACAACGCAAAACAAGGTCTTTGTGTTTGTCACCCACTGACAATACCGATTGTAGGCCGTGCTGCAAAGGTCAAAGTGAGCAGTCACCTTTCCATGCGCCATCTGCGAAGCCTGTCAATTTGCTGATGCGCCCGACAGTGCGATGGCAAGCTCCCAGCATGCACCGCCTGTGAGAAGGCCGGCCGCGAGAACGAGTGTTCCGCCGCGAATGATCAGTTTGCCCGGGGAAAGGAACGAAGGTATGTGCCAGCCATCCGTGGTGCGTTTGCGCGTCTTCGAACCAGGAGCCGCCACTGATTACCCGCAGCTATGTCGCCGCTTTGGAGATGCGAATAGAGAAGCTGGAGCGAAGGCTAGAATATGCCCGGTCCCGGAAGGCTTCAGTTGCTATGCACGGCCCCGATGCTCGTCCTGCCGCGGAGGGGGATCGTAAGGACTCTCTGGCAACAATCCGGGCTGCCATCCACCGTAAAGCTGCCCGCAGACGAGAAAACTCGGATGTCAACTCGTTGGTCTCGGATTTTGGTTATCTGTACGTTTCTCTGTATTTTGGAAATGCCCCCTGTGGAATCCGCCTGACCGCCGAACCCCTAGTTCCGTCCACGCGACCACGCGAGACTTCGAGCCTACAGTCAGCAACATGACATTCGCTCGCCTGGTCTTGGCAGCAGCGACCAACGACCCCATCCCGGAACCGAAGGATGGCAAGCTTCCCCCAAGGCAGACTGCTCACGCCATAATACAGTATTACATGACAAGCATCTACAGCCTATTCCCTGTCTTTCCGGAGACAGTCCTCATCTCTATCCTGGACGGCCTCTACCAGCAGGACCAACCGCAGATCAAAAGCAGTGACTACTGGCTGTTTTATATGGTCCTTGCCATCGGGTCCGCTGCACAAAGCCGCAGCAATCGAGACGAGTACTATACTAACGGTGTCGAATTCGTTTCTCGGGCTCTCCCTTACGCCGATAGGGCTCTCACGCCAGGTTATGTCACGCAGATCCAGTCCCTGCTCCTGTTCGCGCAGTACGCCATGTTAGACCCTGCACACTTCGATACTTGGCATCTTATCGGCTTCGCGTGCCGTGCAGTTATCGACCTGGGTTACCATCAAGATCCTCCGCAGGCACAAGCCATGGATAAGGGTGCTCTAGACTCACGGAGGAAGATCTTTTATTGCGCTTATGCGCTTGACCGGGCTATCAGCATGGTCCACGCCCGAGCATTCTCCTTTACAGATGATGCCATTGCAGTCGATCTTCCGTCTCCGTCTCCAATGTCTCAAGTGCCATCTATAAGCGGCTCCGTTGCGGAATTTTCCTCGGCCGACATAGCCCTCCTCCACTTTCGACTGCGGCGTATTCAGTCACATTGGTACCAGACCCTATTCCAGTCTGACCCTGCAGATCCCCTCCCCGACTCGACATCTTTCATCTGGCAGATGTGCCACGACATGCGGGAGTGGGCCGAGTCCTTACCAGACACGCTGCCGGTCGGCTTCCGTGAGCTCTTCGATCTCGAGCTGCGGTACAGCTACGTGTATTGCATCGCACCCAGCGCCCGCGCGCCTCATCTGACGGCGTACGGGAGGATCCTGATCTTCGAGCACGCCATCGCCTATCTAGACCGCATCTACGCCGTCGCCAGCGCCGCGGCCAACCCTGCCCTCTACACGTACCACGACGCCTTCAAGGTCTACTTCATGGGCTCGCAGTTTGTCGCCGTCCTCCGCGACGCCGGCGACGCGCTACTCTCGGGGGGCAGCAGCCGCAGCAGCAACAGAAACGTCCCCGTCCCGCTGTCTCCGCCGAACGTGGCGCCGCCGCCGCCGCTGCCCCCCCAGCAGCGGCGGTCCGCGGGTGAAGAGGAGGAGGAGGAGGAGGAGGAGGAGGACAACCTGGACCGGAGCGCGCGGTCGCTGGAGAGGGTCGGGCTCGCGCTGGGCAGGTACGGGGAGAGGTGGGAGGACGCGCTCGCGCTCAGGGACAGCTTCGAGAGGTTGTCGGCCGACGTCGCCGACGGGCTCGCGGCGCGGAGGAGGCTGAGGGATGAGAACGCCGCCGCCGCCGCCGCCGCCGCCGCCGCCGCCCGGGCGGAGGAGGAGCAGATGCGGCTGCGGCAGATGGCGACCGGCCACCACCACCACCACCACCAGCAGCAGCAGCAGCACATGCACGCGGCGCAGAATCACGCCCGGCCGCAGCAGGGGGTCCAGTGGGCTGGTGTCGATGTGGCGCAGATGATGCAGGGGGGAAACCAATATGGGACCTGAACGGCGAGGCGAGCGTTGAGTCTTTTATTGTTGTCGAGTTGGAGAGGTTGGCTTTCAGGGAACGGGATGTTTTACGGTATATATCCCTTTTTGAGGTTCTGGAAATATGGTCACAGGATCGATTATGATGATGATTTGTTGGTAGCAGGTTGATGGACTTTGATTGATCGTTTTTGAGCCCCCGATGGGAATGTCCAAGCACAGCATTACTAGGGCAGTGTTGGATGAAAAACTGGTGGACCTTTATAGGCTTGGTTGTCGAAGATCAAGATCCACCAAGAGCAGGAACAACAATTCTAGGCGTCAGGGTACGGCTATCGGTCTCGGCCAGTGAAATAGGGCTGAGATTGAGGATGGGGATAAGATGGTTCATTAGATAGCTAGATTCTTGGAAAGAGGGGTGCCGTCATGAGTTCCAAATCGCCGTATTTCACCACGAAGAAATCTGTTGATATGCAAAAGGATTGAGAAGATCAAAATAGCAAAAGAGGGATATCCATACAATTGTCTTTTGAATCTCAGCAACATTTGCGTTGTTGAATCGTGAAAATATTAGAACGCATATCCCTGTAACAGGAGTACCACAATAACGAACGTGCTTCCAGGTTGGAGCTTAATCGATATCGGGGTTTCTTCGGGAAAATAACGTTTAAGCCCAGGTTGTCGACTTCAAGCGAAAGGGCAGTGTTTGGAATGTGAATCCTTCCCTCCAGCCTGCCCCTCTGTATTCCCTACGAATGAACCGAAACTGCGCTGTTCTAACAGCAGTCTATCCATTACATACAAGACTGTCCCAGTCTGCTTCTCTCGCCTTTTCAGCTCCGCGATAACGACACCCCCGCGATCCCACGTCCATCCCCGGACTCCCGTGTATGTCTCCTCCCGATCAGCCGGCCGACCGTTCTAGCCAGCCTGGCACCTCCGAAAATGCGACTGAGTCCGCCACCGGCGATGTGACGGGCGGCCCCCCGGTCACCGAAACCCCGCCACCGCCACCGGAAACACAACAGGCGCCCGTGCCGTCACAGGGCTCCGACGGCCCGGGCCATGAGAGCGAGGACTTGATTGACCTCGGAATCGAGACAGAAGTGCACGGTGATGCGAACCATGGGGTGCGAGGAGGAGCCGAACCCCAAGACAGACATCATGGCGAGCCTTCAGAGCCCATGTCCTCTTCGATGGCCACCTTGAGACCAATCACTTCCCCCACCACCACGACTGCGGCCCAACACCTCAGCATAGAATCGACGCCCTACGTCGACCCGACGCCTCCCACCCCCATATCCTCGCAAGCTCCGTCCCGGACTCCCTCAAATGCCGCATCCGCCGACAGACATTTCCGCAACATTTCCGAGCCCTCGCCAACCGGATCTGATACCGGATACGATGAGAAGAGGTACGCCAGCGAGGATGAGCAGGAGACCGGATCCAGATTGGAGATCCAGACCATCATGGAACAGTTCAGCGAGGAAGGAGGTGGGCCCGGGGCCGAAGAGGTCATGAGTCCCAGGCTCGAGATGGCGTCGCCAATGTTGGGGGGCCCAATCCAGCATCCGCCGCGTAAATCGAGCCTGGAACCCCTTGCGCCGACCATCGTCCAGCAGCTCCAAGACATGCAGAGTCTTCGTATGTCAAGTTCGTCCCCGGTGAACTTGCGGCACAAGGGAAAGGAGTCGGACGAGCAGGCACCACCAGTGCCCCCGAAGGATGGCTCCATCCCCCCGGGAGGACCGCACGACGAGAGGCGGGGCAGTGTCGATTCGCCCATGTCTCCGACCATGTCTTTGCACCGCCCACCGCCGCCGGAACCGGAACCGGAATCAGCATTACCCTTCGACTTTCACCGTTTCCTCGAACAACTTCGAAACAAGAAGGCAGATCCCGTAGCTAGGTACCTAAAATCGTTTCTCGCCGAGTTTTCGAAGCGGCAGTGGATGGTTCACGAGCAAGTCAAGATCATCAGCGACTTCCTCGCTTTCATTGCGAACAAGATGGCCCAGTGTGACCTCTGGCGAGACGTATCAGACGCCGAGTTTGACAATGCTCGAGAAGGCATGGAGAAGCTGGTAATGAATCGATTATACGGTCAAACCTTCTCGCCGGCAATAGCACCCCCTCGGCCCATTCCCGGCGCAAAACCCAAGAAACGAGGTGGGGAGCCGCCAATGGGTCCCGGTCGGCGAGGCCAGCATCAAGAAGACGTCGAGCGGGACGAGATCTTGTCGCAGAAGATCAACATCTACTCGTGGACAAAGGAAGAACACCTCGATATTCCACCTGTGAGCGAGAGCGGGAAACGATTCCTGATGCTGGCGCAGCAAGGTGAGAGAGCTCTGTGACCAGTTGTGACTGCCAAACTTGGGGGCTGATCATGATCTAGAACTGCTAAAAATCAAGTCATACCGAGCGCCTCGGGACAAGATCATCTGCGTCTTGAACTGCTGCAAAGTCATATTCGGTTGGTAGCGCCACACCAGTTTGATCACGCTTTTGGACCCAATAATGACATTTTCCCCAGGTCTCCTGAAGCACTCAAAATCCGACTCTTCTGCTGATTCCTTCATGCCAATGTTGATCTACGTTGTTCTTCACGCCAACCCCGAGCATCTAGTCTCAAATGTCCAGTACATACTCAGGTTCCGAAACCAGGAGAAACTGGGTGGTGAGGCGGGATACTATTTGTCGTCGCTGGTAAGGGAACCCCCGGCTGATTTAGTTTGCCTCGATCCAGACTGACGGCCGTAGATGGGAGTGATCCAGTTCGTCGAGAACATGGACCGGACGACGTTGACCATAACCGACGAGGAATTCGAGGCCAACGTCGAGGCAGCGGTATCCGCCATTGCCGAAAAACACCGATCCGAATCCCCCCAGCCTCCTCCCTCAGAGTCCGAAAAGCCGTCGAGTCTCCAGCCCCCCCGGGCGGGCGAGTCGTCCTCGTCCTCGACTCGGCCGTCGCTCGATGTCGACGCGTTGCTTCGACCTTCCACGCCGCGCCGGTCCATGTCCTCGAACGAAGGGAGGGACAGCGCCGAGTACTCCGGCGGCGACGAGAAGGCCGCCATCGGCGGCCTCTTCCGCTCCATCCAGAAGCCCCTCAGCACGATCGGGCGCATCTTCTTGGACGAGCCGTCTGCGTCGGGGGCGGAGGCGGGTGCGGGGGCGGGGGTGGGGGTGGAGGCAGAACCGAGCTTCGCAAGCCCGGCGAGGACGCCGCAGCCCGAGCGGGTCGGTGGTGGCGAGCAACCGAAGCGGCAGATTCTGTCCGCCGAGGAAGCCGCTGCGCGGCAGGCGAGCGCCGAGGCGGCGGAAGCTCAGCGCCTCCACCGGGCGGAGCATGCGAATGTCGTCGAGACCCTCGCCGGCATGTTTCCGGATCTGGACCGCGAGATCATTAGTGATGTCGTCTACCAGAAGGAGGGGAGGTGAGTAAACCCTATTTTCTACGCTCGCGAGGCTGTTCATCTTGCTACTTGGAGAACCAAATTCTTGGATGGTTTCTGACAATCGCCTCAGAGTGGGCCTCGCTGTCGACGCCTGCCTCGCCCTCTCGTCATGACCTATTCGCTCCACGTTCATGCCGTCATACATACGTTTCCACCTTGTTGCCAGAAGATACCTGGTTTCCTAGCACACTGCATTCCCTTCCTAGCGAGCATCGATACCGTGGGCATGGGGTAATTTGGGTGGATGGGATACATATTTGCATGGGTCGGTCAACCTGCCATTTGCCTGAGCTCGAAACGCGAGGAGGGAAGTAGTGATAATCTTGGCAATAATTCGATATGCCTCCATGATCCCTATTGGAGATCACTAATACAGAAGACGGTGTCGTGCGTGCTCAGCGATTACAGACTTCCAACCCGCACATACTCTATTTAGGGGCGTACAATCGCATCTAGCATCGAAATCAATACGTTGATTCGGATCCTAACTGCCTATTCCGGGCTCGACCCTCCTCCCATTATAACATATATGTGCAAGCTGAGCTTGAGTTCCCCCTTGGTTTACACAGCCAATGCCCCGTCCCACCATCCATCCCTCTGGACAATCTCACCCGCTCACCTCCCACCAACCACGAGCATACCCGACTCAAGACAAACCTCAAACTCCCAACCCCTCGCTAATCCCCCGCCCGGGAGGACCCTGCAGAACAGGTGCCTCACCTTCCGCCGGCGACGGCGACGGCAGTGGCGGGAAGTTGGAGGCCTTGTTGGACTCCCTCCTGCCTGTCGCCCGTAGTAGACGTCGGCGGGGCCGTCGGCGTCGGAGACGCACTTTGTTGCACCCGTCCCGCGGGCCGGAGCGGCCCAAGATGAGGTTGAGGACGAAGGTGTCGATGCTGGAGTCGCCGGGGGGGGTGTTGGGGGGGGGGGGGGGGGGGGGGGCGGTTTTTTGGGGGGTTTTTAGGGAATAAAGAATGCCCCCGGGGGCCGAA